ACTAAACACAATTTATGCTCGTTAAATGCAAATTTCCTAAGTAAACAGTTTGTGATTGAATTCCTCTATCAGAGATGAGATTGAGGTGTAGATTTAATTACACAATGTTCAGAGTTGATTATCTTCCATGCTGACCTCCTCATTGAGTCCAGAAGACTATGAATCTAATTTGGTTGGGTTAGATTTTATTTTGTCCCGCTCCAGATGGGCTCGCAAAAGTAACATGATGAAAAAAAAAAAAAAAACATTTTAGGGACCGTCAAAGTGGCCAGAGACACACTGTTAAAACATGCTGGATCATGTACATATTAGAAAACGACACAGAAAACAAATGCAGGTATCTTAAAACTCAAGTCATTATACACTGTAGTTTGTAAATACAGTATTTATCTTCTTTCAATATGTCTCTATAGATATATTTATTTGTGCAGCCTCCCACATATTGATAGTCTTATGGTTTATGTTGATGCAATATCCTACCTACAGTGTAAATATAAAGTAATTTAACCCTTGGGAATTTATATACAATATTTTCAAAAAAAACCGGCTCATATCTTCAGCTAAATATCAATAACCAACAAATATCTACTTTTTTCCATACTGAATACATCATTCCAGGATTCATTAAGTAAGTGGGAAAAGTACGTGAACCCCCACGCCAATCAGATTTACAAATGCTAACTGGATTCAACAGTGTTCAAACCTAGAGTCCAACCAATGACACAAGACCAGAGCCGGTGTTACATTTACCTGCAGGTAATCATAAAGAAACACTCAAACCTTTGGACTTTGTTACCTGCCAATGTGACTAATGTCAAACAAGAAGAGAGAAAGGTTATGATTGTCATTATTCATGTTAGGGTTAAAAAGTCTACAGTTAGACAAATGTTTAAATGGACGTGATTTAGTATTGTGGCTAGTTGCCCAGTTCTAATTCTGATATTGATTCTAAAATGAGTCCAAAAGCACAATGCAGATTACTCAAAGAAAAAAGTCGTTGAGATTAAGAAGGTAAAGGCTTAAAGGAATCATCTCTGTCGACTTTGCATAGATCACTGAACAGTCATGGTCTCCATGGCAGGAAGCTGCTGTTCTCCCAAAGAAAACATCACAATGCCTGAAGTTTGCCAAAGACATCTTGACACTCAGCACTATTGGGAAAATGTTGTGTGGGCTGATGAAACTCAGGTTGCATTGTTGGGAAAGAACAGCCTGTACTACATGTACATAAATTGGGCATTGCAAACCAACATGAAAACTTTATCCTAGTGCTGAAATACCGAAGATAGGATACCATGAATTGAGGCTACATTTTGAGCCGGGACAGCTCAAATAATTCAGTCGGAAATTAATTCCAAAGTTTTTCCAAGTGTCTAACAACATAATGTCAGGGTAGCTGTCTGCAGTGGAAGCTCAGTAGAAAATTAAGTGACACAGCAGGACAATGACCCTAAACATGGAAATAAATCTTCTGCGTGTCTTCAAACAAAGCAAATCCAGTTGTCAGAGCCTTGAGCTTGGCCTAACAGAGAGGCTGTGGAATCAAGTGGAAGGTTCACCCGACATCCTAAGAATATCTCTGAGCTGAAGCAGGAAGAATGGTAAAAAGTTCCTCCTGACCGTTACTGTATGGTCTGGTGTGCAAACAATTGTTTGAAGTTATTGCCGCCAAAGGTGCCTCGATCAGTTTACAAATCCCAGGGTTCCCTTACTTTTACCCAATTCAACGAACGGGTGTGTTCATAGGTCCTCAGTGTGATGCTTTCCCAGATGAACTCATTCTAAAATGTACATTACCATTTAATATATCCATCCGATAACACAATGATTTATATACTTTACCATTTATGGATTTCATTGGGTGTTTGTTTTCATATCTGAGGGAAAAGATACCAGTGGTATTGGTATTGCATCCCAAAGGTTTATTATTGGGGAGATCAGAGAGGGAAACTCTGAGGGCCCCTCAGTATGGAAACAACTGCGCTCTAATTTAGCAGCTAATTTGCTTCCATTCCCTCATATTAATCTTTGAAGAGAAAATGGGCCACGAGGGCTCAAGATTGACAGACATGTAATCATCGAATGTGGATTTGCACTAAATGGCTCCGGGCAATCTTTATAAGACACTCCTTGCACAACACCTTTTTAATTTTGGCCCTAATAAACAATCCACCAATGCCATTATGTAATGAAACACTACGTAATGTCTTTAAATATGAAGCCAATCACATTTTACGCACACAACCAAGTGACTAGGGAAATGAGCATAGTGGGAAATTGGTTTTAGAAATGAGATGTGCAAGTGGAAATGCTTTTTGGTGAGAACTGGCACCTAATCAGCTCTGAAGATCAAGCCCTGTCTAAGCGTGGGTATCTGTAATTGTTGTATTTGCATAACTTTTTCTCTCTTAAACATTTTTTTCATTTTAGCTTTATCACTATCAGAGACTACCTGTGTATGCACCAGGTGTGATAGTGCAGACATGTCAAAGGACTGAAAGACTTTGTCTTATCAGTCTCCGGTCTAATTACATCCCTGTCTACTGTTTAATAGCCTGCCACTGTGAGAACTCATGACAAAGACTTGACGAAAGCAATGTTCTTATCTTTTTGTAATAGAAAATTAAAACAGCAGTTGTTCACAGGTTTTCCTCCAAAGTCTTGTTTAGTATTTATTTACATATTAGGATTTAATGAACACAACAGATTGATTGTGATGATTAAAAGCTCTTTGAATTAAGCTGCATTTTGTTTTAGGTAGAATTTCAGTTTTAATTTTCTTAAATCAGATAAACTACATCAATGATGCAAACATGACTTTTGCCTCCAATACGGAAGCATAAACAAACAGACAGCAGCAGACTTCCTTTGTTTCGATTTGACTTTTTGTCACCAACTTGAGAGTTAATAACTTAGTGACAAAAAACTTTTCTTGAAAGGACAAATTCAAATATACATACCAGAGAAAATACAAACAAATGGACTGGGGGACTGCCAGAAAATCTGTGCACAGAAATGTTTCATAATTGTGATCATTATATGTGCAGTTTATGAAATCATGGAAATGGCAGAGGGCATGACCTTTTCACCGTGTAGCGTTTGAGGTTTGGATTAAACCACCAATTTATCTGCAGGCCATCATTAATCTTTCTCCCCTCTGTTTGCAGATTGCAGCAGGTCCACCTGCATCAGGAGCACCATTAGCAGGGGGTGCAGCAGCTCCACCTCCTCCTCCTCCACCTCCTCCGCCACCTCCACCTGGTGGATGTCCTCCTCCTCCACCGCCTCCTCCTCCTCCTCTCTTTGGCCATGCAGGCATTCCACCGCCACCTCCACCACCTCCTCCTCCAGGTGGAGGACCTCCACCTCCCCCACCACCCCCAGGTTGTGGGCCCCCGCCTCCACCGCCTTTCTTCGGGGGCCCAGGTGGGCCTCCGCCACCTCCATCGTTTCCTGTCGTCAAGCTGCCTTATGGGCTGAAGCCCAAGAAGACCTACAAGCCTGAAGCTGTAATGAAGCGGATCAACTGGACCAAGGTACGATTCACTGTAACACATAATCTCATGTTCACAGATTATATCAGTTATTTTCATATGAAATATTATACAATGATTTTACAATCACACCTGAAAACACTTTGCCTCAGAGCTTTGGATTTAGAGGATTCTTCAAGTAACCCTGCACAACACAAAGATGCAAAGTTGAGGATCCAAACAAAAGGAGACCTTTTCCAATGCTCTCTCAATGCAGTCAAACAACCGTTCAGCCACGGGCCACACTGTTTCACCCTCAACACCCATTTCAAAGGGATTCAAATATAAATAATTTTCACTGCTCCAACGTCCTTGGATTTGCACATTCTTAGTATAATTGAATAACGACTGGGTTGTGTAACATTCAGTCGCATTTGAATTCAATTTCAATAGGACATTCTCTTGCGTGTGGGCTTTATTTTACCATAGATAATTTATCCATAACCTCAGGAGTTCTTAGCATTAATTTAATGGTTCTTTGCTGATGTTTGTGTGACCTTGCATTTTAGTGTTCAATTACTGACAACAACCAGAACATCAGGCTAGTTCTTTTGATATCGTGTTAGTGGTGCAAATTATATTTGAAGGTTTTAGTGGAATCAAGCCACACATGAAAAAGGAATTTTGAATGTGATTATTTCATTCTGTTGAGGGCCACTGCAGTTGGCCCTTAACATTTCTGTCTCTTTTTCCCAAAATAACAAATCAACAAATTGAATATGTTTTTGATTTCTTTGTTATATTATTTATTTAACAGCAGGCCACCAAATGTTATAAATGAGAGAAGAAAATGTGGAACCACACGTCACATTTACAAGCACATTGTCCCTGGTCAGATTTGCTTTCACCTTAAGGACTCTTTAAAATGCCACATAAGTAAATGCATGATTCTATGTGAGAGTTTCCTGAGTTGTACAAAATAAATAAGTTACATCCGTATGAAATATAATAGATAAACAGTACATACAACTGCTTTTGTATCTGTGTTTGTGCTTTGATATTTTGAATATTGTAACTCATTGTCTTGTGTATTGTGTGGTTTTGCATGCATGATTTGTGTGTTAGCTGTCTGGTGCAAATGCCTGTTGCTTGGGAAATGTACAGAAACAGGTTAATGTGAAGGTGCATTAACCTTGTCTCCACAGGAATTGTGGTTTGGTAATGCAAATGAAATTCATAACCACCTGAGGAAAAACAATCTGTGTCTCTTGTGTCGATTAAGTGGGACAAGAGTCGTCTGTCTTATCTATGTGCAGCAGATGGAAGTATTGCAATGCCACTAGCCACTGTAATTTGGTTGTGTAAAAAGGAAGGAGAGGGAAAAGAAACTTTTTTATACATGCGTCCCCTTTACCCACTGCCCCACACATGTCTGGAGTATGAGTTACAGGTTTGATTGTGCCAACAGGATGCTGTCAAGTATGCACTTATTAGACCATTAGGTGTTACATGCAAGTGTGTGGGTAGATGAAAGTCCAACCCTTTGTTGCATCATGCGAACACAGATGATCTCTAATTACATATGCACAAACACAAACATACTTAATTCCACACTGCAGTCGTAATAACATTGAGTCGCATTGGGAGCAGCTTTTAAATCAGGAAAACGTTTAACTTTTTTTTTTGTTTACAGTTTCAGTATAACTTTTCCACTCAAGCCAGGGTTGCGGTAGCATTGCATTCTTAGTCATAAACAGTAGAATAAGACTCACATAGGAGAAGACCAGCACAGTTACCCACAGTGAAATGTCAACTGTGTTCAAGTGCTAAGTGCATTTTAAATCAGTTTGAGTTATTGTTGTAACACTGTGTTCCGTCAATATCTGTGTTCTTGGGTTCCACACAAAATATTCAGAACAGATGTATATATATATATAATCTTCCTGTAGCTGCCATTTTGACCTGATAAAGTAATTACAATTTGTTCTCTTTGCCCAAGAAAAATGTAATCACATGATACTACGATAAAGATGTCTGGGAGTAGAAGAACAAAAGGAAACATGGGAGCAGTGAGATTAGATAATTAACATGTTTTTATACAATGCAACAGCTCATTAGCTCAAGCGGTAACAAGTACCTTGACTCAAACATAGAGATGCCATCTTTACTGTGGTCAGGACACACAGGAAACAGTTTAGCAATAATTTAATAATCTTAAAGCTTCTGCACAGGAGTAACCCAGGGCAGTTGTCTTAGCCCCCTTCTTTTCTCATTGCCTGCCTCTTT